CGTCAGCCTCTTCCACTGCAACTCCTTCCTCAGCGGCTTCATCTCCGCCGTCGGCAGCTTCATCCTCGGCGGTCAGTGCGCCGGGCTTGTCGCCCTCTTGCCCTCCCCGGCCTCCCGGTAACCATAGGCTCTTCCTGATAGCTGCAGGATTCGTTTGGCTGTCGCGGACTTCCCTTTTCAGGGCCCGAACTGTCTGTAGCAGCTGCCCGCGCCATCCTGGCGGTCACAGTGTTCCCCAGAAATAGCCTGGTTTTTGTGTTTTGGTAACTAGGTAATTGCCTTAGCCACACCGTGGAATCCCATCACTAACCGTGAAATGTCGTTAGTGACCCCCGAACCTTCCTTGGCAACCAGCAAATGCTTTACCTACCTGGAATTTGTCCTAGTAGCCATCAGGCCTCCCCTGGCAGCTAAGAAATCTCTACACCACCTGCTCAAATCATTTTTAGCAACTTTCAGAGCTTGTTCTGGCAGTCAGGGCATCCTTTTAGTAACTGGGACTCTAGCAATCCCAAACCTCACCTGACAACAAGGAAGGTTTTCATCAGCTGTGAAATCCCTTTAGCAAACACAGCCAGCAATAGGTGCCTCTGAAACTCATGGCCATGTAGCAGCCTGGGATCCTCCGTGGTTACCTTAGAACATTGAGTTTTCTCTGCATCCTACCAACCTCAAAGGTTGTCCATTGTCAACTGCTCAGTCTCTGTCAATTACTGAACATCTCTGGGCAGTGGTCCCCTAGCAAATGTGAGGCATTGCAGAGTAGCTGTAGGACAAATCATAGATGCCTCAGCCTGTTCCTTAGCAGGATGTCCCACAGATGCTGTGGACCTGCTGGGTGCTGCCCAAAACACACCCACACAGTCTGCCTCTTTATCACTATTAGCAGCTCCAGACTGCCTTGCTTTTCTCTGGCAGTCAAGGAATCCACCCAGTGAGCATCTTGTGTTAATGTCCTTCCTTGGCAGCCATTCCGTGGTGACCCCAGGCCCTGGCAATAACTTTTAGGATATTCTTCTCCCATAATGCACAAAAAAACCTTCTTGCTGCACGGCCATACTTAACATACAGTTGTTTCCATGACGGTGCTGGCTCATGGTAAGCCTGTTCCCCTCAAGATGTACTTGGCTGCCCTTTATTAGTGTTGTGGTCTGGGAGACCGTTCCTGTATCAGCCCCCATGCATATCCATGCCAGTGTCCTGCTCGTCCTGTAGCAAAGGGATCTTCTTCTTGTAGTGCTCTGGAGCAGTGACCCAGGCTGTGATGAGCTGCCCCAGCAAGGCCTTGCTTCCTGACTTGGTTTTCTCTTCTTATCCTTAACAACTTGTTCTCTCTCTCTGATTCACAGTGTGCCTCCGGATCCAGATCAACCCCCAGAACAAAGGCGAATTCCAGGGCATTTCACCAGAACGAGCGTTTGCTGATTTCCTCTTTGCGAACACCATCCTGCATCTTGTCGTTATCAATTTTGTTGGCTGAGCTCTAGAAAATACTGTGAGGTACTGACCCACAGGGCCATGGGACAGTGAGCCTTAGTTCACACAGCTTTAGTACTTCAGTGTAGAAAGACAAAGAATTCAGGAGATCTAGCTCCCAGTTTCCTCTTGGCGAAATGCACTTAAGTCACTGTCCCAGGGGTTGATTTAGGACTTGGATGTAGGGCTTCTTGGTTTTGTATGTGTATTTTTTTCAGGTTTTATCATTTACAGCACAATTTAACCAGAAAGAAAAATACACATTTTCCTTTGAAGAAAAATTCCCTTTTCCTTTAAAAAAGGAGCTGTGGGAGTTGGAACTTCCAAGGTTCTGTCCATGAGAGTGGGTCCTGTTTGGAGGCCATGGTATAGCTGATGTCCAAACCTGAATTCTGTACATATGAGTAAAGAAAATGTGGGACAGGGATGTTTTGAAGCTGGAAAGTGGAGAGTGTACTGTTGTTACTGCTGCAAGGAACCACAAGATCTTTGGAGATTGTAGACCTTCATAATACTGCTGTCTCTTTCCTGTTGATAACAGATAAAAAGCTTCAGACTCTCCTTTGTCATTCTACTTAGCAGGTTTTTTTTCTTTTTTCTTCTTTCTTCTTTTTTTGTTTTATTTTTAAACTGCCCCAGTTTCAGGGGGAAGGAGGAAATGAGTTGCCATGGAAACCCAAATGTCAGCTGTCCTTTTCATTTCCATGTTTCCGGCCCTTTATCTCGTGGAAAACATCTTACCAAAAGGCACCCAGGTTTCAAAGCTGTGGAAAATGTTTTAGACTGTGGTTAGCTGTCATAAATGGAAGACAGCCAAGTGGGTCACCTAGCACCTCTCTAGTGCATCCCCAGGACCATCTGTCTTCCCATCCTCCCCACCCTCCCCAACCTCCCATGCCCCTGAGAGGGAAATAACCCATTCTGGTCTTAGAGCCTCTTCATGACCTGGAAGGATAAAGCTGCCCTAGCACCATGTTAGCTTTTCTGCAGCCTGAAGTACTGATGAAATGTGAAAAGAGCTGCCAAGCTATGCCAGTGCCATGGGCAGGTCTGTACTGGGGCTGTTCCAGCTCAGTAAAGAAGGCAACGCCTTGGATTAAACCTTCCCAATAATCCTTACTCTCTAAAGGTTGATGAAATGCTTAAACTCTGAGATTCTGGCTCTTGGCTTTTGCCTTTTCTAGCCAAGACTGTCTTCTGCATTGAGGCCCATTGCATCCTAGGCCTGACAAGAAAATCAGAGCCCTGTAAAATTCAGATTATGAGCACGTGATGAGATACTATGACCTGCTGGGGTGACTCCATCTCCAACCTCCCAGCTTCGGTCACACAGTTGTCCTGGGTTACTTTAAGATGGGTTCAATTGTGCTGATCCTGCTTCACACTTGCTAGGTCTACAGTTGTAAAATATAGGTAAAATGAATAGGATAGGCAAAATGTGTGTTCAACTTATGGTCCAAAGAAATCCTTATCTGCTGAAACCCAGAAAATAAAATATGGGCTTCAGTCACTTCAGCTTCTCAGCGCTAGATTATGGCTCCTAATTACCACCTTTCTTCCTTTTAGCACTTCTGGCTGTGCTGCAGCCATTTAGTCCATAAAAGCTTGAAACCTGGAGCTTCTAAATCCTTTCCTAATATAGACTCTGAAGAGGTTTGAGGTTCTCTTTTTTTGAATGGGATGCTGTCCCTATCTGTGCTGAGAACAGAGAAATCGTGCCAGCTCTCAGCTCCACCAGGCCATTGAGCTGTGTTTGTTTATGAAAGTGTGGACTCTGAACTGATGTTAGGGTGCTGGAGGGCAGCAAGGATGGGACTGGATGGCAGAAGAAGAGCCAGGCATGGGACAGACAGAGTCAACAGGAGGAGGAACAAACTTAGGATCTCTCCTCTCCCATTCCTGCTGCTGGTATTCTATAAGATGCGAGTGCCTCCTTGTGGGTTTGTGTGGCTCGTTCTACCCTGCCCCTCTGCTTTAGAGAGAACCTTATAGGCTAGGCCTCCTTGTGGCCACTTGTGTAAGCTGCGCAGAAGCGTGTGAAAGAATCATGTTCTGTATGTTGTTTTTCTGATTTTTGTGCCTCTCGTTGCCAAAATTTCAGTCCAAGATTTCAGATACTATTAGAGCTGCTTCTACAGCTGAATGACCTTCAAAATCTATAAGGATCTTCAGACTATGCTCCTTAGAAAGACTATGTTAGGGTCCCTGTTCATTTTGCAGAAGAAGGCAAGAGAACAGGGTGTTTTCTCCACAAAACCTCTACAAAAGATGCAAATTAACCTCCAACCTATAGTTAGGAATTAGGGACTATAGTTAGGAACTGGAACAAGCATAGGGGACAGGTGGGCAGGATGGACCATGGCAACATTTTCCCTGACAGTGTGAGAGATGGCTGCCCGGCATGCTGCTTTTTCCTCCTTTCTCTTTTGACTAGGAGGAAGTAAGGTCTTCCTGCAGAGATTCACTGCCTATATAATGGGGTACAGACACCTATCAGCAAATGCACTCACCACTCAACACCCTCTTCAATTTCTTTTCTACCCTTCTTTCCTCCAGCTACACTGTGCAAGGCTCTGTCTTTTCTGTTCTGCCCGCAACACTCTCCACCCAAGACCCAAGATTGGGCTGTGATGAGAGGGCAGGAAAGGTGGGTGTCTTAACCCTGTTCCACTTTGGCTTGTGGTCTAACGTTTGCTCTCTTCTCCCACATGCTTTTTTGAGTCCTTGCCATGTGCCACACCAGCCCTACTCCCTCTACCCTGTATTTTTGTGCTCCACTTTCCAGAGGAAGTGGTTTCTGTGATGGGGCTTGGGGGGAACGAAGTGACCCAGATCTCGGTTGTGTCGTCATGGAACTTGTTATGCATAATTTTCCCTTCACTGCCTGGGCCATGAGACCTATTCTGCTTCCTGCCCTACTTTGCTTTTATCTGCCCTCATTTTCCACTGTGGTTTTTCTCTCTTTTGAAATAAACAAGAAAGCACAAAGGGGCAATGTGGTCAGAGGTGATGGTGATGAGAGATTGAAACCCCAGTGTCTGAAAGCATCTTCAAAAATAGACCTACAAATTCACTGTCTTGGAGATTGCATGCTAACATTCATTTCAGTCAATTTAATATATGTATACACTCATCCCCTTGTTCGGAAAATCTTACAGTTGGGGGCATTTATGGTGAAGGAGAAAAGGTTGAGATGTGTAAACTGAGGTAGGCAGCAAACAGTCCTCTGACCCTGCAGCAAGGAGTGTTTTTGAAGTGCAACGCAAAAAAAATTAGCATGGATAAAAAATTTTTAAAAAGATGTTGCAAAAATATAAGGGAGTGCGGAAACTGTGCTTGCACATCCCTGCAGTTTTAAAGCAAGAATAATCAGTTGGGAATGTGTGAAAGTGGGATCGATAGCGCCTGGTAACTCACAAATGGTCTAAGCAGAGGCATCAAAACTCTCCTCCTCCACCATGTAGCAGCCCTAATGACAAAGTTGCCACTTCAAGAGCATCAGCTGACGGGAATTTAGAAGTTTAAATACCATTGTGCTTTCTACTGCCAGGGAGAATTGAGACTGTTTTGCTGAGGAAGGGGTAGGAGAATTAATTCCTCAGTATCTATGCTAAACTAATCCAAGTAATCTGTGCTAAGATAACAAGAGCAATTAGGCCTGTACGATTTACCTGAGCAGGAGTGATCAGATCACTCTCTGTCACTCTGTGACAGGCCACCTAATCAGTGGTCAGGTGGCAACATCATGATACAAGATCAGGGAGATTTTGATGTTTTGCTGTTCAGCAGTGTGGACTCATAATTTGTGATAAGGATCTTCACATGTGCTGTGCAATGGCTACACACAGAGAAACTCTCCCACATGGAGGATCGGGGCTTTTGATTAAGAGCATTTGAAGCACGAGCTTTTCCAAAATCAGAGACCCTTGCAATGGCTGTGAATGCAGTTGGGTGAGAAATAGCCTATGAAAGAGAAACATCCCTACCAGTCTGGTGAGTTTTTCCCTGCCACTTAATTTGGGCACTGCTGTGAAGGTGTGAATTTTGAGTCTTGCTGAGACTTGAGAGCACCCGTCTCATCTCTCCCTTTAGACAAATCTCTGTGCTTCAGAAGAAGATAGAAACAGTGGTCACAAAAGGGGAAAATCTCATCTTTCTCATCTTCCCAATGACAAGCTGTACCTTGAGACACAGGCCAGTCAGTTTGGCATCACTAATACAAACCAGACTCCTTGTGCCCCTTTAGAGGCTGGATACAACCAGCTACTACATCCCCCATAGCACTACACATCTGTCTCTAAGAAGCTGGACCACCAGTGTGATCAAGCAATATTTCATCCTTTCTTTCACATAACACTGTTTCCACTCCTGGAGGGGACATGGTTTCTTCTACGCTTCCTCTTTCCAAGCCAGCCAAGCTGTCCTCCTCCGCACTGAATGCAGTCAGAAAATAGGTCTGACTTAAGGAGAAGAGAGAGTCTGTGACCATGGGCTATGGAGGTGCCTTGAGAACCAGCTGGATGGCAGAGCTCAGAGGGTTGTGATAAATGGGGACAAGTCTAGCTGGAGGCCTGTGGCCAGTGGTGTACCCCAGGGGTTAGTACTGGCTCCAGTGCTGTTCAATTTGTTCATCAATGGCTTGGACGAGGGGACAGAGCGCACCCTGAGGAAGTTTGTGGACGAACCAAACTGGATGGAGTGGCTGACACTCCAGAGAACTGCGCTGCCATTCAGAGGGACCTGGAAAGGTTGGAGGGTTGGGCAGAGAGGAACCTTATGAAGGTCAACAAGGACAAGTGCAGGGTCCTGCACCTGGGGAGGAATAACCCCAGACACCAGCACAGATTAGGGGCTGGTGTCTGGGAACCCACAGAATCACATAATCACAGAATGGTTAAGGTTGGAAGGGACCTCTAGGGATCATCTAGTGTAAGCCCCCTGCTCCAGCAGGGACACCTAGAGCATGTGGGACAGGGTGGCATCCAGGTGGGTTTTGAAGATCTCCAGAGAAGGAGAGGGGGAGGATCACCTCCCTCGACCTGCTGGAAGGCAGCTCTGTGGAGAGGGATTTGGGAGTCCTGGTTGACAACAGGTTAACCATGAGGCAGCGATGTGCCCTCATGGCCAAGGCGGCCAACGGGATCCTGGCCTACCTGAGGAGGAAGGAGTGTTGCCAGCAGGGCGAGGGAGGGGATCCTGCGGTTCTGGGCTCCCCAGTAAAAGAGGGACATTGAACTTCTGGAGAGGGTCCAGTGTAAAGTGATGAAGATGATTAAGGGACTGGAGCATCTGTCTTATGAGGAAACACTTAGTGAGCTGAGCCTGTTTAGCCTGGGGAAGCAAAGATTGAGAGGGGATTTTATCAACACGTGTAAATAACTGAGGGGAGAATGTAAAGAAGATGAGGCCAAACTCTTCTCAGTAGTCACCAGTGACAGGACAAGGGGTAATGGGTATAAATTAAAACACACATGTTCCATCTCCACGTGAGGAAGAACTTCTTTACTGTGAGAGTGACAGAGCCCTGAAACAGGCTGCCCAGAGAGGTTGTGGAGTCTCCTTCTTTGGAGATCTTCAAAACCTGCCTAGATGCCACCCTGTGCCACGTGCTCTAGGTGTCCCTGCTTGAGTAGAGGGAATGATCTCTAGATGTCCCTTCCAACCTCAACCATTTGGTGATTTCCCCCACAG